GTCAAAGTCTTCCCCAAGGAAGTCTTCAGTATCAGCCACTCTCCTCCCTACTGAGACAGAATCCAGCACGGGTGAAGGCATCACCTCCCCACCCGAAGCCGACTGGCCCCTCGTCGTCCGCAGCATCGGCGCCTTCGTCGGCATTGTCTTCGCCATCCGCCGTCTGCCTTGGACCTCGACGATGCAGGTCTCCATCACCCTGGCGCTAGCGAACCCGTTTCTGTGGTATCTGATCGACCGGTCCAAACCAGGCTTCCTCCTCAGCGCCGCCGTGGGCGTCACGGGGTCCGCGATCCTGATGGGGCTGGGCGACCCCGACATGATGCCTGCGCCTGTGGCTGGAGGAATGGGTGCGTACCACGATCACATTTTGACGAATGGGCAACCTGCGATGGGCGTGCTTAATGGGACAACATCCCGGCTGCCTAGGGACGCAACGGGGAGGATGGGTGGTGGTGCTATGGGAGGAGCTAGCGGGAATGCCGCCGTCATTGAGACGGGCATTTGGATGCTTAGTGTGCTGTTTTGCAGCTGTGTGTGCTTTGGGAATATCGGGAGGAGGTTGGCGCTGAATAAGTCGGCTGCTTCCAGGGGAAGATGGGGTGGTGTTAGGTGATCCGGATCTCATGGGTATCTTATCAGTTATCACACTACATCTGGGGCACTATGGAATGTCTACATCGAAGTCATGACCATTCTTCTATATCCACGCAGCGAGAATGCTTCAACACGCATCAATAACGGTCGGTTTATCAACTCTGTACTTAGCAGTCTGACTAAATGAATATTGCACACCCTTTATACCAAGGGAGTCAAAGATTGAGTGCTCTTGAGCGGGCACTTCTTGGAGTTTTTGCATCACCTTGTTGTTGTCTCAATCTAGCCCCTGAAAAACTTCATTATATGCCTGCTATATGTGTGTCCATCATGACGACCTCCAAGACGATATTCACCCAAAAAAATAAAGAAGCGTCGAAGAAGATATGCGAAACAAGGATAGACGACCAGTAATGACCGTTGACGACCTGCAGGATTGAAACCAGAAGAAAAAGAGAAGGGAAATCAAAACCGAAAAAATGAATGTCGCAAAAGATGATCATCCACCCGAGCTAGGAGAATGATATAATGATGTGTTGACAAGAGTGGGATTCGAACCCACGCCCTTTCGGACCACGGAACTGAGTTGTTTAACTCGGATTAAGGGTTAACCTTAACGTGGCGCCTTAGACCGCTCGGCCATCTTGCCTCCTGATGTTGAATTTTTAACTCGTTGGTGTGGTTTAAAAGCGTGGTGGTGCTGGCAAGGGTGGGGGGTTCCGGGGTTTGGTGTGGGTGGGGATTAGGGTTGAAGGTTGAAGAGGTGGTGAGGGTCGGTCGGGATGTATCCCTGCCATGGGATGGGAGTGGGAGTGGGTTATGGGATAGGTACATATCGTCAAAGGGCTGGAGACTATTGTATACAACAACAGGCTTGTTACGGGACTGTTGATATGAAATGGTTCGCGAAATGACATGGTGTTTGCAAGGTAAGGTATTGAAAAGCAGCTATAATCATTTAAGAAGAGAAGCCCGTAATGTAGAAGCAAGCCAGTCCTTAACGCCAGTTTTGACAATGTGGACACAAGAGGGAAACCATCCATCCATCCGCTTACTCATTCAGACCTATATCCATCCAATCATCCATCATCTATCCTTCCTTCCTTCCTTCCTTCCTTCTTGCCTACTCACAGCCAGCCGCTCACTGAGCAACAAACCCCAACTTAGCAAACAGCGTACCCATAGCCACCCACCTCCTACCACACTTATCCAAATAATTTTCCACCACGCCTTTCACCGTCCCGAACCTCACGCGATTACGTTCCGCCATGATAGCCACCCTCTCCTTCTCCTCGGCGCTTAGCTTAGCAGCATCCGCATCACCATCTTCATCGTTATTTCCCTTGGCCTTTCTCTTGGCCTTATCCACGTCCCACAAGCTAGCAAAGTACACCAGCTGGTTGTAGATGTCTCTCTCGCTGTACTCGTACCGCATGCGGCCGCCGCATTCGCCCCTCGCCAGACCTTTGGAGCCGAGACAGCGCGTGCCGTAGACGGAGATCTGGCGCGTGCGGTTGCCACATGAGGAGTCGTCGCAGACGAGCCAGCCTTCGTAGTAGCGCGCCGTTTGGGCGCGGACAGCGGCTTCGACTTGGGCGACGACGCTGATAGTTGGGAGGACGTATTGGCAGGATGGGCATTGGATGCCGGAGGGGGTAACGTTGTTGACAGAGGAGGGGGAGGCGAGGCCTTCGAAGGGTGAAGAGGTCTTGCATCTGCGACAGCGGAGAGAGAGGCGGGCGCAGGATTGGAAGCGGAGGGAGTCGGGGATTTGGGACTCGAGAGGATGGATTTCGAGGTCTTGTGGGCCGGAAGAGTTGTTGTTGTTGGTGTTGGAGGAGTAGCGCCGGACGTCGAGGCCGAGGTTCTCGGTGAGCTGGGAAGTCGATGTGCCGACAATGTTGGCGCAGAGACGCTCGACTGGAGGGAAGATTTGCTTGCCAATGTACCATTCTACGTCCGGAGACAGACCGGATTCGGCCTTGAGCACGTCTTGAGGGGTATAGGCACGCTTGGCCACGGCTTCCGAGGTGGTCTTGCTGTCGCCCGTGACGATGTACGCGATGACATCGCCCTTGCGGATGGTCTTGCCCTTGGCCAACTCACGGAGTGCGACTTGGACCTGCGGCATCGAGTCGGCATTGGGATAATCCTTGGGCGCCTTACCGAGCTGAGTCAAGATGATGTACTTCTGCACAGGGACGGCACCCTCGCGCATCTTGGCAGATATGTCACGAAGGTATTCGTGGATGCGTTGGACGGACACCTCAGTGTCGTCACCCGAGAGGATCTCGGTGAGGATACGGTTCGAGATCTCCTTGGACAAGCCGCAGTACTCACGACGCTTCATGTCGAGACCCTTGACCTCCATCTTCTCAACCCACTTGTCGTTAACTTGGACCATGTTGATGGCAGCATACTTCTTCTTGGCCTGGAGGAGGATGCGCCTAAAGACATTGTCGATATCGATCTCAAGGAGGCGGTACCGCTCGTTGACAGCCTTCTTGAACTCGTGGCCGACACGCAGGGCATCTGCGACGTTGTCCTTGTTGGCGTTGATCATGACGGAATCAGTATCACCGTAGATGACCTGAAGCGAGTTGCTCTCTGCCAGTTCCTTGGTGCTTCGCAGAATCTCACGGCCCTTGTAGGTGGTAAGTACGGCAAGAGGGCGGGCGTAGAAGCGCGACTTGGTATAGCCAAGACAGCCGTACATGGAGTTGGCAGTCAACTTCAAGGCGAGCTGCTTGATATCCCAAGTAGCAAGCTCTTCAGGCGTGGCATTCTTGTCTTTCATCAGGGACTTGACTTGTTTACGCCGGCTAACGAGTGTAGCAATTAGCTTGGGGAGGATGCCCTGGGCCTGTTCTTTGGGAACCTCAGGGACAGCATCATCGTCCTCGGACTATTGTGCGTTAGCTTGTGACTTCAACAGAGGCGGGAGCCTGACTTACTAGTGATGTTCGATCGACTGTAGTGAAGCAGATGTTGTACTCTTGAATGATGGAAGGGTAAAGGGAGTTGAAGTCCATGACAAGAACGAACTTGTCGTAGAGACCCTTTTCTGGCTCGAAGACCAAACCACCCTTGTATTTATCCTTCTTCTTTGCTCCTTCTCCGCCTTCCTCTTCTGCATTTTCCTCTTCAATGCGCTGGCGACCCTTGAAAGTCTGCTTGTCCGGAACGACATATTTGTTGCGATGGAACTCGTGAAGCAAAATGTACTCGTTTCGCTCGGCACGCGTACCGGTGAGTGTCCTTGCCCACGAGTTACCAGCCAAGTTGGTGAGGACCTTGGTAAGAGGCAGAATCTGAGTCCTCAGTGCAAGAGCCGCGATGAAGTAAGTATCGGTCTCGGCATGCGAGATGTAGTCCATCAAACCATGCTTGTCAGCGTTAGCCCACGTCTTCAGGGCGACTTCGTTGTCAATGTCCCTCCTGGGAGTTTCGCCGCCCAGATATAAGCTGCACATTTCAGTCAAGCTCCAGTTCTGGCACTTGGTCATGACTGATTTACCGGCATCGTTGGCAAGATCGCATAGCAGACGGCCAGACATTATCTGGCGTTCTGCAAACACGTTGCCACCCATCTTGGCGATGGATGATGGCCACTGTGAGCGCCTGAGTCTACCCAGACGAGACCATTGGTGTGTCTTTTTCTCGTGCAGCCGGTTCAGCAGAATACTGTAGTCAACACCTTCCAGCTGGTGTCCAAGAATAACATCTGGATCAACAACGTCGATCTGTGCGAGCAAGAAATTCAAGATCTCGTGTTCCTGCTTGAAGAGCTTCAGCACACCTCTGCCTCGTTCCTTGGCAAGGGTCTCAAAGCCGATAGGAAATGCGCTACCGTAAGGTCTAACAGCGGTGAAGCTACGAGAAGCAAGCTTGTCTGCGGGAGTGGTGTCACTGAGCGACACATCGAAGTAAACTCTTCCGCTGACCGAGAGAATTTCCTGCTTGTTATCCTTGGGATTGAATGCTGTGCGCATAGCAAGACTCAACAACGTCAAAGGAGGAGGCTCGATGCTCTCAACGTTGTCTGGAACCGACACCATCATGGGATGTTCTACCCGGACCTCCAGCTTGCAGTGCGAGGCATTCCTCAAGGAAGTGAAGTCGGCATCCTCAATCTTGAGCCAGCAGGGGCCCATGATGTTCTTCCAGAGCACAAACTGCTCGAACAGAGCCGTATTGGTACCGAAGACGTGGGAGAAGGTTTCGCCCTGGGTGGTGGGTTCCATCGCAGGCTTGGTATATGGGTAGAGGAGCTTCAAATACTGGCCCTCCTTAGGAACATCTGGAAGCTCGAACGCATACTTGCGAGTGCAAGCCTTGATCTTATGCATGCCGACATTCATCTTGGTCATGATCTCGTCGACCTCGTTGTAGACGTCCATCATTTCCACCCCTTCTGTTGTCTCCTGGCCACCTCGCACACGGTGCTTGCGGGGCAGGAAGAAGAGCTTCCGGAGAATGTTGTCAACCTTGACAAAGCAACTGACATAGGTCTTGGTCTTCTTGTTCAGAACCTTGCCAAACAAGCAGAGACTGCCGTTGACCTCTGTATAGTCTGTCCAGAACATGTTCAAGCTGCCGTCTTCTTCGATAGCGTCCTTATAGTCGATCTTGCCAACACTCCTGCCCTCGCTCTGTGACATGGATACGACGTTGAGCTTCTGATTGATCTCGTTCCAAGAAGCAGCGTCGACCTCCGGTGCTGGCGCTCTTGCGGGTGATGAGCTGGCCGGAATGGGATCTGCCTTTAGGATCTTCTTGACTTGACGGGATGCTGATATGTTGACACTGGCAGCTGTTACCGCTCCAGTATGGGCAACCTCCATCATGTCCTCATCTTCGTCCTCATCCTCTTCCTTCTTTTTAGGTTCCGACCTACCGAACGTCCTCCGTGTTGCTACTTTTGCGGCCGGTGAGGATGGCATGATGGCATCGCTCATAAGGTAGTCGGAAACAGGCGCAGGTTCGTCGTCCATAGCAGCCAGGTAGTCGTCGTCTGGTAGAAGGTCGTCGTCTCCTGCTGGGGATGATGCCCTGTCGTCTACTGTCTTGGCTCTCTTTGCCATGGGTGGCCGAGGTTCCCGTACTGGGGAGAGCACCCGGACTTTCCTCCTCTCGACTGATCGTTCTCTCTTCTTGGTTACTCGTGTGACCGGGGTGGGGGTGTTTGCGGTGACCTTTTCAATGAGGTCTTCCAGGAACTTGTCATCTTCTTCGGTTTTGATGACCTTTTGATTTGGAGGGGCTTTGGCGGCCCCTTTCGTGAAGTATTCGGTGATGTCTCTATCGTTGGCATCTCGTTTCGCATCTTCTTGTTCCTTTTGTTTCTTGGCTAAGAGGGAGGATGACGAAGATCAGCATAAAGAACCCGACTGCTTTACTATTTGCTCCCATCATCTGGTTTTGAGTTTGTATCTGCTCACACTTGCGCGGCTTGCTGCCGGGTAGGCCCAACTCCTCCTCGCTGTCATCTTGGTACTGGGGAAGGCGATCCCATTCTTCGCGGCCGTCGTCCGCGTAACCTTCGCCGTTGTCGTCCACCACGAAATCATCCTCGTTCAGGCGGTCTCTGACAATCTTCTTGTACTGGTTCTCGTCGACTTCTTCGTAGAGCTCGTCAACCTCGCCGACGTCGTAGGACTTCTTTTTGCCGGACTGGCGCAGTTCGCGGAACTCAGCGAACTTGCCGCGCTTGGCTACTCGTCGGGACATTTTGGCATGCCCTTTTGTGATGTTGCCTTGAGGATTCGAGGTTGGATGGGAGAGAGACAACAGAGGAGCACCAGGCGAACACTCTGAAAGGGAATATCAACGGGTTCAACCGTGATGTGGTAGGTAGTGTTAGTGACCGAGAGGAAGATTATAGTGGGATTACAGGGTTCAATTGGTCCCATCCAATAACAAAAGAAAGACGCGCTTAGTTTCGTTACTCGTCGCGTACTTTACCGTAAACTGTAAGCGCGAATCCTTGTCCCCGTCACGTCCTGTTTAAGAGGTGGGGCAGTCCCGTTCCTGTGACCTAAGGGGATAGGTAAAGGCACATACCGAGCCATGTACCTTTCAGCAACGGCCCCCCCTGTCAGGTACCTGATGTCGACCCCAGACCCACCGTCTCCAAAAGTGCTGTGGCTGCGGCAGGCATTTTTGTAGATCGGTCTCCAAAATTTCGGAATGTCATCCTAACTTTATCCATCACCACGGCCCCATCTTTAGCATCTTCCTCCGTCCAGAGTCCAATTGTGTGCCCGCCGCGCTAAGATAACAATACCGATTCCTTTCCGGGCTATAACTTCCCACATAAAATCGCCATACTCACCGGAAATCGTCTAGAAACAACAGAGAACTCAATAACGATAAACTCGACGAACCAGATACCCCTACCAACCGACTATCACCAACATAGGTACCTCGGCCAGTGCCTTACAGGAAAAGAAGATACGAAATATTTAAGGACGGACTTGGTTGCCCGCAACCATGTTTGTCTGTCGGGTTTGTCTGGGGAAAGGCCTAGCTCCTGGAGCTTTGGCTAGGATAAATGCGCCTGCAGTTGGATCTCGTCTGGTCCTCCCAAGGCTAGGCGCACTCACAGCAACCCAGTCCACGACCGCCCTCCGATCCTACCACTTGCCCGCCCTCAAGCCAAAGACTGCCGCCGATCCCTCCGTTACTCTCGACCTCGAAGTGCCGGAAGGGGAAGAAGATGGGGAAAAGAAGGGGAAAAAGAGAGACTTGAGCGAAGAGCAGAGGAAGAAGCTGGAGCGCAATGCGGCCCTACAACTCAAGCATTTCAAGGATCCCTTCCACATTGAGAAGCAGGTCAAGTTGACCCTCGATAAAGGAAAATACGAAGAGGCCCTGGTTCTCACCCGCAAGGCTAGCAAGAGCGCAAAGGTCCAGGTCTCATGGAACCATCTGATCGACTACCACATGAAGAACAAGCGTCTATCTGCTGCCATCAAGATCTATAACGAGATGAAGAAGCGCGCCCAGGTTCCAGACGCCAGAACTTACACCATCATCTTCCGAGGTTGCGCCATGAGCGAACACCCCAAGCAGGCAGTGGCAGAAGCTATTAAGATTTACCACAGCTTGCTCAAGAATGAGCGCGTCAAGCCAACCACCATCCACCTTAACGCTGTCCTCGAGACATGTGCCCGCGCTGGCGACATAGACAGCATGTTCACGACAGTACAAACAGCCAACGAAAGCACACGCAAGCCCGACAACCTGACCTATACAATTATCTTCAACGCCCTCCGCGCTCAGTTCAACCCACGAGCGCCACTCGACCGGGACCCGATGCAGCGCGACGAAGAAGATATCAAGCGGGAGAAACAAGAGGCTATCAGCAGGGGCTTGCAAATATGGGAAGATGTACTGCGTCTATGGAAGAAGGGCAACCTCCTCATCGACGAGGAAATGGCTTGCTCCTTTGGAAGGCTGCTGACCCTGGGCACCAAGGAAGATAACGAGAGGGTCTTCGACGTTCTTTCCACGACCATGCAGCTCCCCCGATTCCATGCTGGCGAGAAGGCACCTGCCGAAGTGACCGCTAAGGCCGTAGACATGGT